TCTGCACTCGCCTGTTGTAGACATTTCAGGTAACTAGAACCACACAGTGTTTGTGCTTTTGTGCCTGGCTCCTCTCACTGCAGCATCATGTTGTCAGGTTTCATCCACATCCTAACATGTAGCAGAGCTTCGTTTCTCTTTATGTCTGAGTAATAGTCCAGCGTGTGCATGGACCACATCTTGTTCATCCATCATCTTTGATGTCAACTTGGGTTGTTTCCACCTTTTGCCTGTTGCGAATACTGCTGCAGTGGATACTGGTGGACACGCATCTGAGTCCTTGCTTTCAAGCCTTGTACTTTGCAGTTGAAGGTGAAGGCTATCTACCATGTGGGAACATAAGGACCAAAGAAAAAGATGCCTGATAGGAAAAGTGTTGTGTGCTAATGGCAGCCAAGGAGCTGATGGAGAGGGCCCAAGAAGCTACTGTAGATGGGGCTGGTCTAGGAGGAGCCCTGAGGGACTCAGGGTGTACTAAGCAGAGGAACCACAGGTGCAACGGCCTCCCAGTGGGGTTCCCCAGCCTCCCCAGCTCATGGCTCATGGCCCAAACTTACTCACCCATCACTCAGTCAGCGTGCATCTACTGAGCACCCACTGAGTACTCAGTGCTGTTCGGGAAGTCTGCCATCACATACAGTGGCCACTAGTCCTGCTGGACTGCTGAGCCTCTGGAGGGGTTGTTGTTGTTGTTGTTATGTGCCGTCGAGTCGTCTCTGACTCCTAGTGACCCTGTGCACACCAGAACGAAACTGCCTGCTCCTGTGCCAGCTTCACGATTCTTGCTATACCGGAGCCCATTGTTGCAGCCGTTGTCGATCCATCTCATTGAGGGCCTTCCCCTTCTTCGTTGACCCTCCACTTTACCAAGTATGACATCCTTCTGCCTTTACCAAGCATGGTCCCTTCTGACAACACGACTAAAGTAAGTAAGACAAAGTCTGGCCATTCTCCCATCCAAGGAACATTCCAGCTGCACTTCCTCCAGGACAGATTTGTTAGTTATGGCAGTCTATGGTATTTTCAGTATTCTTTGCCAACACCACAACTCAAAAGCATCAACTCTTCTTCGGTCTTCCTTATCCATTGTCCAGCTCTCACACACATAAGAGGCGATTGAAAATACCATGGCTTGAGTTAGGTGCACCTAAGTTTTTGGGCAATCCTACTTCCGTAGTGATACTGCCTGGGAAACCCAAGGAGGGGTCGCTATGAGTCTGGGCCGACTCGACGGCATATAACAACAACAACAAGTTTTCAAAGAGACATCTTTGCTCTTCATCACTTGAAAGAGGTCTTTTGCAGCAGATTTCTCCAATGCAAGATGTCATCTGATGTCTTGACTGCTGCTTCCAATGGTGTTCATTGAAGAACCAAGTAATATGAAATCCTTGACAATTTCAATCTTTTCTCCATTTATCATGACGCTGTTGATTGGACCAGTTGTGAGGACTTTTGTTTTCTTTACATTGAGATGTAATCCATACTGCAGACTGTAGTCTTTAATCTTCATCAGTAAGTGCTTCAAGTCATCCTCACTTTCAGCAA